GCCGATGCAGGGGACACGGGTTCGTGCCCCGGTCTGGGAAGATCCCACGTGCCGCGGAGCAGCTGGGCCCGTGAGCCACGGCCGCTGAGCCTGCGAGTCCGGAGCCTGTGCTCCGCAATGGAAGAGGCCACAACAGTGAGAGGCCCACGTACCGCCAAAAAAAAAAAAGAAAAATACAGGTGAAACTAACTTTAATGATGTTTCATTTAACTCAGTATATCCAAAATATCATTTCCACATGTAATCAACATATAAAATACCATTGGTGAAACAGTCACAGTCTTGATTTCATACTAAGTCTTAAAAATCGGTGTATAGTTTTCCTGAATGACACCTTGATAGGGATTAGCCACATTGCGAATGCTCACGCCACTGACTGCTGTGGGGCCTCATTTAACGGAGATGACCAACTCCTAGGCCAAACCGCCTTCTGACTCCACCCCACTTCCTCGGGCTTCAAGAGCAACCCCTTCCTCTATGGCCTGCTGCTTGCTGCAGACCCTGGCCCGACGGGGGCCGTGGGCAGGCAGGGCCAGTAAGGACCCCACCTACCAAGCCAGCAGTAGAGGCAGGACACCGAGCCCAGCAGAGCCTTGCTCTAAGCCCCAGGATGGGAGCACTCAGCTCACAGCTCCCCTTGGCTTCCCCAGGGAGAAGATCTCCTGGTCAGGAGCTCAGAACTCATCCACTCGGGGGAGCTGACTCGTGTCACACAGCCACAAGCCAAGAGCCAGCAGAGGATGTTTTTTCTCTTTGACCACCAGCTCATCTACTGTAAGAAGGTACCAGAGTCACTCTTCCCTGCTAGATGGACCTGTTCAGAGCAGGAATGGAGGGAGTGAGGTCGAGGGCTGGGAGCAGCTGCCCAGAGAAAATGAGACACACACACACACACACACGCACGCCCGTGCGATTCCTCTCCCCGGGGCCCTGCTGCCCAGAGAAAATCACACACACACACACACACACACACACGATTCCTCTCCCCGGGGCCCTGCTGCCCAGAGAAGATGACAGACACACACACACACACACACACACACACACACACACGATTCCTCTGCCCAGAGAAAATCACACACACACACACACATACACACACACGATTCCTCTCCCCAGGGCCCTGCTGCCCAAATGACACACACACACGCACACGTGCGCGCGGTAGGGGGCTGTCTACAGAGTGAGCCTAGTGGCCCAGGGACCAGAGGGTGGCCCTCAGAGTCTGACCCGCGTGCAGTGCTGTTAAGAACACCCTCCTTCCTGAAGAGCCCCTGCTCGCTTCTCAAGCCAGCTCTTCTCTTCCTGCAAACCTCAGCTTCCCCTTCCCAACCCTGGGATCCTCTGTTCCAGCTGCCTCCAGGCCTCCTCTTTGCTGCTGGCTTCTACTCCCCTTTCAAAACATGGCACAAGTGGCTGGGCAGCCCTCCTGAGCGCTGGCTCTGGCCTGGCCTCGGTAGACTGATGCTCTCCTTTGCTGCGCACTGTGGGCCCTGGCCTGCTGCCTGTCTCCATGGCTGCCTCCCCGTGAGGCTGGGGGTGTTTAGAGACCCCCAGGCCAGCCAGTAAATGTTAACTCAAGGAGCGCCTCCTTCGCCATGGGTTCAGCATGTGGTCGTGGGCCGAGCCAGGCTCGCTCTCCCTCCCGAGATCACTTTCTGCAGCCCGCTGGCCCTTCTGGTCACAGGGCAGAAGGTGAGGCAGGGCCTCGGACGCAGTCAGGAGGATGGTTCAGGCCACGGGGCCGGGCAAGCAGGCGGGCCGGGGGGCTCACGGCGTCTCTGGCAGGACCTTCTCCGCCGGGACGTGCTCTACTACAAGGGCCGACTGGACCTGGATGGCCTGGAGCTGGTGGACCTGGAGGACGGGAAGGACGGGGAGCTCCATGTGAGCGTCAGGAACGCCTTCCGGCTGCGCTGCGGCCCCTCGGGGGAGAGCCAGCTGCTGTGTGCCAAGAAGCCCGAGCAGAAGCAGCGCTGGCTCAAGGCCTTCGCCAGGGAGCGGGACCAGGTGCGGCTGGACCAGGAGACAGGTGCGAGAGCCCGCTTGGCCTGGCCCCACCGCGAGGGCCCACCCAGCCCTCCATGCCCCCGTGCCGGGGAGCCAGCATGACCTTGGGACTGTGAGAGGCCGGTCTCACACGGGCAGAACCTCGGGGTTTGGCGAGGCTCCAGGACACGTCGTGGCTTCGGCCCCAGGCGTGGGTCACTTCCCCCCGCCACACGCGTGCACACACTCCATAGGGTGGGAGCCTCTGCTCAGTTGGAGTGGGAGGTGGGCGCCGGCCTCCAGAGGCCTCCCCCTGCCCCACGTGAGCACGGCATTCCCCTCCTGTCCTTGGGCCCCTGGCCATCACGCTGGGCGGTGACCAGGTCGGTTCTGGATCTGGCAAAGGAGCCGCCTCCACAGGTCCGAGAAAGGACAGTAGGCACCAGCCACATCGGTGAGCCGGGCAGGGTGAGCGACGGGGCAGGGCGACGAGGGAGGCCGCGGAGAGGTGCACCAGAGCGCCCCTGCGGAGCACGTCCTCCGCCTGGGCGGCCGAGCCAGGCTGGTGGGGCGGGATGCTGAGCCCCCGAGTACCGTGGGCAGGGCCGGGTGCACAGAGACTGCACTGGTGCCAGGACAAGAGGACCGTGGCGGGGGGGAGGAGGGGGTTGTGGGAGGGCAGCTGTGGCTCTCATTTGTGGCCCCTTCTCAGGCTTCTCCATCACCCAGCTACAGAGGAAGCAGGCCATGCTGAACGCCAGCAAGCAGCAGGCTGTCGGGAAGCCCAAAGGTAAGCAGGTGGTGGTCCCACCTCCACCCACGGCAGCCCGGCCCAAAGCAGGGTCAGCTGGGCCTGGGTCCTCAGAGGTGCCCACTGCCCTTTGCAGGTCTGTGTTCCCAAAGGTTGGTGGTGAGGGGCCGCTGGTGAGGGGAAGCCTGCTTAGGCACGCGGTGGATATTCCTGCTCTCCAGCCCCGCAGGCTCCCGGGAGCAGCACAGTGCTGTTCGGTGCCAGCTTTTCCTTCCCCAGGCAGGGCTGCTTCCTGGCAGCCGGCCTAGGCACCTCGTGGCAAGGAACTAACAGCCTGTTCCTACAGAAATGTTAAACGCCCCCCTCCCCCAAGAGCAGCTCCAGGCCTCACGCCTTCCCACGCCCCCTGGCCATCCCCCCTGCAGACCACGGAGGGCAGCCCAGGCCCTTGGGTGTGGTCAGCCCCAGGGGAGCAAGGGTGGGTGTCGGAGGCAGCCCAGGGACGGCCCGCTGCCCCCACAGGCTCTGCCCTGTGCCATCCGGCTCCCAACACACCTCCGACCCCTGCTCTCTTCCCCTGCCCAGCCCTCAGCCGGCCCTACTACCTGACACGCCAGAAGCACCCAGCTCTGCCCACCAGCCTGCCCCAGCAACAGGTCCTGGTGCTGGCAGAGCCCAAGCGGAAGCCGTCCACCTTCTGGCACAGCATCAGCCGGCTGGCGCCCTTCCGCAAGTGAGCCCACGCCCCGCCGATGGCACCATCTGGACCTGCCCCACCGGCGGGCCTCCAGCTTTTCCTCCCCGGCCTTCCTCTGCCTGTTTCGCAGACTGGAGGTGGGAGGTGCGAGGTGCCCCCATTCCTGGTTTCCTCCCCACTACTGGGGCGCTGGAGACGCTGGCTGGAGAGGCAGGCCCCCAGCACGTGAACCTCCCGCCACCCTCTCGGCCTGTGCGGGGCCTCCTGGGAGCCACAGCTCAGAACCACCCACCAGGCCAGCACATGTGAGAATGCCGCTTTGGACCCTCTTCTCGGGACATCTAATCATCCCTCCTGCCCCTGGTTTCTCTGGGCAGGAGACGTCTCTGCCTTCGGCCACCTGCAGAGCCAGGCTGTGTGCCCCCCTGCCCTCCTGTTCTCCTTGCAGGCCCCCAGCTGGTGGACCAGGCAGCCTGCATCCCTGGTGGGTGGGAACCAGGAATTCTGCACACAGAAACATCTGGCCCAGAGCCAACCCGTTTTTGCTTCCCAGCCCCTCTCTAGACACTCCTGGCTGCTGGACACCCTCTCTTCACTTGTGATGTGTTTTGTTTATAGTGGAAAGAAAACCATAGTCAGCTGAATACTTCTGTCAGGGTTTGTGACTAGTCCACCTGTAGCTGTGGGGTGATTCCAGAACCTGGTTCCAGTATTTTTTGTTCAGATTTTGTTTTTCTAACGGTAGAGAAAAAGAATTGTTAGTGACACGGAAAGACTGCCTTACCCTAAGTGAGCGTGAGAAGCCATAAGGACTGAATTCTGTGGCCCGGCACTCAGGACTGACCCACCCAGAGGCTGGTGGGCATGTGGGTTGGAAGGAAGCCTACATCCCACAGAGGAGGGGCACCAATGAGTGTGGCCAGGGCCTGGCTTGGGGCACGGAGCCGCCCCTGTGGCCCACGGGAATTCAGCAGCATGTACAGTCACTCTTGCACTACACCTTCTCCAAGCCAGAAACCACATTTAATTTCATAAAGAAACTTGTGAAAAATAACCTGGCTGCCGGCCCTTGTTTTCTGTGCATTTTCTCGTCCCCTCGCCACGTATCTGTTTCTACCCCAGGCCTTTCCTAAGACTAGAGGAATGAGCTAGGCCCCCAGGGCTTTGGTGGACAGAGGCTTCAGAGAGGCTCTGGGTAACTGGGAGCTGTCTCAGCACCTCCCTGCCTGGCTACTTCCAGAGTCAGTCTGCTTAGCTGAAGTGAGTTTGGGGGACAGGCAGTCCGTAATCTTTCTGGCTCTCACCTTCCTCCTTGGTGAAATGGGGAAGGATGTGTCTTCCTCCCAGGAGGACCCAGGCCACAGGACCACAAGAGGAGGAACAAGGGTGGCTTCCCTCCCCTTCCCCACAACCTGCTACCTTCATACCCGTACACACTGCCCAGGTCACTGGGGCTGAGCCTGAAACCCCTGGACTTCCTAACTTAAGAGACGCTACACCTTCCATCCAGGCCAAGCCACCTGGAGACAAAACCTATGGGGAAAAATCATGAAAATCACAATATGCAACACAAGTCAATCTTTATTGAAAACTGCAGTATTAATACATAACAATTCTTGTTACAATAAACGTGCTTTTAAGAATTTTAAATCTGAGCTCATCTACTCATCAGATTGCATAAAAAATTAAAACAGTACGAATTTACACATAATGGAATTGGCTCAGGATGGGTGTTCCATTCCTTTGTATTGATTGACACCTTAAGTTCAATGCAGAGGTGAGGGGGGCCTTTAACACTGGAAGACAATGCTGACTTAAGTTTTTAAAAAGTACTATGAGAACGGTCTAAAAAAAAAAAAAAAAACAGTATTCTGAAATCGTTTTAAAAAAAACAAAAACCAATTTCCTAGTCAGTAACAGTGGCTCCCTGGGGTCTCTCTTGAGTGGCCATCACAGTAACCCCGCCAGGAACACATGAGAGCTGGCCTCAGGTCCAGCCCAATTAGTCTACCAACCACTGGTCTGCACGAGGACCTACAGGAGACTCCAACAGGGCTCAGGAGGCCAAGCCAAGACACTTGTCATCTCCAACACACCAATCCTGGGAGCACAGCATCCCCTGAAGCTCACTGCAGGCTCCCTGCACAGAGATGCCAGCCTCTCCTCCGTCTCCCTTGACGTTTGATCCCGGGGATTCAAATAAGATTACCCCAGAGGTTTTCTGTTCAAGTGAATAGGGTGGGGAAAGAGACAAATCCTCTGAAACATGTAAGATCAACTCTGCAACTTTCTACCTGAAAAGATCAGACCCTCCTTTGCAGCGTGTCCTCTGCAGGCTCCTTTCAGAAAGCTCAGGTTGAGTAACAAACAGCTCAGGACAAAAAAACACACCAACATGTGAAATGTGCTAGAGAGGAGAGTCACGCGGGCCACCCTTCCCCTATGCCAACCACTCCTCTCTAGAGACACACCCGTCCTTAGAAAGCACCAAGAGAAGAACCAGAAGCTGCCCCCCACCTCAAGCCCCACACCCTTAAGCCTGCCCTTGCACGGCCAGAGGAAGTCAGGCAGGCGTCCCGTCTGGGCAATGCCCAGGCTGGCAAGAATGGGGGTGTCCAGCCGTTAGCTGCCAGATAGGGAGAAGGTGGCCCAACTGGTCAGAGTAATACTGTTTCCAAATGTTTACAAAGGACAGGTGAAGAAGTCTGGGTTTCCTTCTTAAAAAGCAGGCCCCAATACTGATGCGTCTGGTGCCTGCCATCCTTTCTCCACCTGCTGGCAGGACAGCACTACCAGAGATTAGTACATCCCAAGCCCCAAGAATCTGTTTCCTCTTGTTTGAAGTGCCGATGCCAGCAGATGGAGCGAGGCACTGCATGCCCAGCCTGGGAAGGGCAGGGCGCATACCGACCAGTTGTCTAGCCCACAGCTCAGAACCACATTCGGCTCCTGTAAATACTACATTTGCATAGCACTCAAGAAACAGTCACATAATACAACTGGTAGGCTTAATAACCAAACCAATAAGAATGCTGAGAAAAGGTTGAACACAAGAGACGTAAAAGATTCTGGAAGCGCTTCTGTGCTTGTCACCATGAATGGCCCTGGCCCGGATGCTGGCCTCAGTTCTCAAAGGCAGCAGGATGACGGGACCATCACTCATCGCGAAACGTTCAGTCACCTGGCCCAGATCCAAACAAGATTTCCCTAAGCAGAGAAACATACCTTCTAAACCTTAGGGGAAGGCTGAAGAATAAAATTTCTTAAAAATATTCATGAAAAAAAACATATATATATCCATGATGATACCTATGTTTATAGGAATTAGTTCCTTTACTTGCCTGTCTCAACTTCTAAAATAACTGTAATTTAGCTGAAAGACTCTCAAATTAGGAATGTCACATATAAAAAATGCAAAATTTCTCTGAATGTTCTACTATTGTGCTTAGGATATCAAATTATGCAACTTTATAACAGAAGCTCTATTCCTTAGTTAATTTTACTGGAACTAAATGCTGCTAAAATTACAACATATGATAGTTTTGTTACTATTCATTATATCCAGATTCTCACCTGCTAGCAAGATCTACCTTCCATATTTGGTAGCTGATGCCGATAGTTTCAAAATTAAAAAGATTTCCACAGAGATGTATTCCATAATGCAAAAGTATCTGATGAAGTCTCCCAACTCAACTTCACAAAAGGGAAATAAGATTTTTTAAGAAATTACAGGGGGGAAAGTGTTTATAAAGCTGATGTAAATGGGGAGAAAACGAAACCCACTCTTTTCTTTCTCTTGAAAACACCATTTAATTCAGTGCTCGTGAAAACACTCACCCTGTGTGTGCCAAGTCTCAGGCAAGCTGGAAGAAACAGCCTATATAATTTCTCATAACTTCCTCCTGAATTCAAATGAGTCCAATCCTTACAGGTAGTAGCATGTGTGTCTCTGTGTGTGCGCACACTGGGACGTTTAAAAAGCATATCCTAAACTCTTATTTTCTCCTATCTTATTAGGCTAAACTGGGGAAACCAACTTCTCTGTTCAGCCCCTGGAACCCTTAGAACATATTGATATTACAAACCGTCCACTATACAGATGGAATTACCAACAAAGAGTTGAAGTGGACAGTGTGCCTGGGGTAAATGGCTGCTACACACACACACACAGACACACACACACACACGAATACACACATACAAAGGTGGGTTAAGTGCTCTTGAAGCAATTTAAAGTACTTATCAGTAAACACACTATGTTACAGACATTAGAAATAAATCTTCTGTTTACAATGATCCATGCAAAAATATTCCTAAAACTCTTATAAAATAAAATGTGAAAAAGAAAACTATGAAGAGTACTTACTATAAAAAATAAGGTTACCAAAGGCTCAGGGGTCAGGTATCCACTCACCATCCAGGGCTGAACGCCACCCCAGTGCCGGAGCCCTGACCAGCTGCTCAGGGAAAGGCGCCCTCCCCACCTGAGGCCCACAGCGCTTGAAACGACGACGGGGTGGAGCAGGGGCACCCCCACCCCTGACAGACCGCTGAACGGGAACAGCCCTCACCCCCCACCCCCTCCGACTTCATCTGAGGACAGACACACACACACCCATCGATACAAGTTGGGCACATTTAGGCAAAAAATCCTCTTGGTTTCTTATGTACAATATTCAGATTTTAAACACAAAATCCTTTCTGTGATAAGTTCTGGCAGGCAAACACGTTCTGATGCTGCCTGGCCCTTTGCTGTCCACACGTGCTTTGTGCTGAGTGTCCCCAGCCACGAGAAGAGATGGCCAAAGGGGCTCACAGACAACAGGCGCCAGCCCTTTCCTCACACCTCCCCACAGCCATCTCCACGAGCGCCCTCCAGGTGGTCTCAGAGGACAAGTCCCCATCAAGTGCATGGGCCGAAACACAGCCACAGCCCTGCCTCTCTACAAGGAACAATCAATATCCAATAAAGTTCTGTTCCCCTTTAAAAGTTCTTAAATATACAACTTTCTTCATAACACACAGCTGAATGAAGTCTTTGCCTTCTTCGTGAGAGGGAGAACAACAATGCCTACATATGTTTTCAGGTGACTCAGACATTTCCCGGGGGGGTGGGGGAAGGGGGGAAAGGAATGATTTTTCTAAGCTAAATAAAGGAGAGGCCAATACCTCCTCCAAGTGTGGCTGGTTCTCTTTCACATATCTCCCATCCCAGGAAAATAATTTAGCTCTACATAGGACTTTTCCATTAAACATATAGAAAGCATCATCTCTATCTGTAAGAGATTTGTAATGAAAATTTAGATGGCAGAGAAAATTGCTTTGCTGATACATAAACCACCTTGTGTCCCTAACTGGATTCACGGTAATCCCTAAGGACGTCCACATCACACTGACCCCACAAGCCTAAATGGAGAGAAAGCCATTAACCTGGCTGCACCCCAAGCAGCGGTGGCCTCCCCACACTCTCCCCGTCCCTGCAACTCTCTCCCAGTGCAGTCCGTGCAAAAGGAACAGATGGGTGGAAACTAGAAGTCCACGTTTCCAACTGGCAACCCACGTCAACCCCAAAAGGCTGAAGAATCATCAAAGAGATTTCAGATGCTCTATGAAGAAATTCACTTTAACACTTATAACTTTAAGACTTTGCATACATTACAACAGTGCATTAGTGATACAAGTTGTAAAATACTTTTCCATTCCTTTGGATTTTGCATATGATGGTTCTGCATCAGTCACTGCAGGTAGATGGAACAAGCTTTGTTTTTGTGTTTGTTTTTTTTAACATGCATTCAACTAGATATGATTCAGAACAGATTAACACTCCCTTTTTATCATTACAGTTAGCTAAAAAATTGCCTGGCAGCCCACCAAACAGGATTTGCTTTAAGACCAACCCACAGAGTCAGTTGGAGACTGAGGGTGCTAGGACCTGCTGGGTCGGCCGTAGTAGTGTTTAGCTAAGTGTCGAGAGCATTAAGAAGAAAGTCCTGGTTGGAGGCACAAGGCCTGCAGCACCAGCTGTGGAACCTCCATGATGTGACTGCACAGCTCCATCCACAAACCTGGGGGGTGGGGAGAAAGATGGACACAGTCACACACAGCTCCTCTGGCACCACTGCTCAGAAAAGGAGGCATTCAACTGGAGGAGGAGATCCACTAGGACAAGAAAGGGCAGCAGCAAGAGAGGCAGCCGTGCTGGTTCCCACGGACCCCAGAGACTTCCAGTTACAACTGGAGTCCTACTTCCCGCAGGAGGCGGGCAGGAGACTAGAGCACAGCCCAGGTAAGGGACACAGTGCAGAGGATGCACAGCAAGAACTCAACGGTTTCCTTCTTCTTTCCTCTGCAGAGTCCCAATAAGGACAAAAATTTAAACGCTGCATTGCCTTTGGATCATCAGGTAGCATTTTTCTTGGCAGTATTTAAAATGACACAGATCTCCCATTCTCCTCTTTAAAAAATGCACTTTAGTCACAAGCTGGCCTCGGGCTTCACCAGTCACTTACGTTTGCAGGGTGATCACCACTGGGGGGGCACATAGCTGTAGGTGGGCGTTCCTGGGGCCCGATACGTGGGCACGGTGACGGGGTGGGGGGCGACAGGAGTTGGGGAGTGGGCAGTCAGCAAGGTACCTGGAAGGAAGAGCAGGCATCTCAGTGGAGGGCAGCACCCCACCACTGCTCCCTCTTACAGGGGAGCTCCCGCCCAACCCCCGTGGCAAAGCGGGAGGCAGACAGGAAGAGGGGATGGCTCTGACCCACAATGCTCTCAGAACTCTTGATTATATACAAGTCAAAGCTGTATAAACACAGCAAGCTCGCATGGATAGCATGTCTGCAGAAGCCTTTGGGCCTCCTCTCCATAAAAGCATACCGTATTATTTTTCCAGATGAGGTGATAAAAAGAAAACAAAAATATTATTCGGCCTTAAAAAGGAAGGGAATTAGTCACATGCTACAACACGGATGAACCCCGAGGACATTATGCTCAGTGAAATAAGCCAGTCACAAAAAGACAAATTCCGCATGAGTCCACTTATACGACGAGGTCCCTAGAGGAGTCAAATGGATAGTGACAGAAAGGAGAATGGTGGTTGCCAGGGTCTGGGCCAAGGGGAAGGGGGAGCTGTTTAATGGGTACAGAGCTTCAGTTCTCCAGGACGAGAAAGTTCTGGAGATGTGACACCACAGTGTGATAACACCACTGACCTGTACACTTGGGTTATGGTGGTAATAAGTAACTGGAAGAGAGGGAGAGAGGGAGGCGGAGGGAGATTCCCAACTACATGAGCTTCTGAGTACCGTAAGCTAAGCATGTTTTCCCTGAAACTGCAGAAAACTCGGCTGTGTCCATTCACGGACAAGCACCACCTCGAAGCTACGGCCTCACCCGGCAGCCCTCCTCTCCCCCTCCTTCCTGCCTGCACCCACACCAGGGCACCCACACCAGGGCCTGCCATCCCCGCCCTCCATGTGCCGCAAACACGCAGTTTCTATCTGTGCCAGACTCTCCTCCGCCTTCACGGGTAAGTATGGGAAAACCAAATAAAATAGTGACTCTAAGCAGAAACACACATGGTATCCTGAAACACCATTCTCTCCTGACACGTTTTCCTTATACTTAAGTCTAGGAAAACAAAGAGGGAACTATATATATATATATATATTTATATATATATATATGTAATTTTTATTTTTTCTAAAGACCCAGCCATGGGCAACCAAACGCAGTGTGTGTACCTGGCCCCTCACCACAGACAATTCACATGCCCACAGGAGGTAACCTAATCCCTAGACATTCAGTCAAGCCCTCAAACACTCCAAGGCTCCATGGAGACAGGCCCATTCCAGCCACGGGTCTCTTCTCTCTGTGGTTTATTTTCCAGACCTAGGGGAAGCCTGGGGAGATAAAATCAATGTACGCCAAAGGATTTCTACAGGCAGCTGTTATCTCTATGAACACAAGACCCGCTTTCCTAGATTCACAGAAACATCCCCGTTCAGACAACTTGGCCTGCGCTGGTATCCCACACTGAAGGGGAGGATCAACAGGGCCAGCCCCCAGATCACAAAGTACCCCCCCCTCTGCCCAAGCTCTATGTGCTCGCCATAGGCATCTGGTCACTCCTTGTCCCTACAGCCAAGTGACTCAGCTCTCCAAAAAAAGTGGCCCCATCCCATTTGGAGAGGGCTACTCAGTCATGGTCTATGGAAAAGGTACTTGGTTCATGGTCTAAACCCCACACTCCAGTCTCAACTGAAAGGAGAGCGAAGAGAAAGGAGGGGAGGTAAAGAAAAACACAACATGCCACTTCTGCCCAAAAGGATCAGATGTCCTTCCACACAACCCTAGCCATGAAAAGTCAAAGCCAAGGGTCAGAGTACTGGTGAGCTCTCCCTTTCCCCAGCCCTCATGCTGTCACAGAGCAGGCACCCCAGGGTCAAGGACTCACCCGCTGACATGGCCATAGTGGTCCCCGCCACCATGCCCATGGTGACGCCGTTGCCTCTAGGCGGAGGGATGGCAGCAGGGTACACCGTCGCCGGCATGCCGTTGGGCTGCACCACTGTGGTGTGGTGGATGACGTGAGGGGGTGCTGCATACAGGGGCTGGGGGTAGTACGTGCCTTGCTGGGGAAAGAAGAGAGACGAGGGCCACAGGGTCCCACACCCAGAGGGTCAGAGCCCCGAGGAACCGGCCATTCCCACAAGCACAGTGCCCAGGAGACCCCGTAAGGCACTCACAGCGCGCCCCAGGCCTACCTGTGCGTACGGGCTCTGCTGGGGGTAGGCACTTCGCACGGGGTATACAGCCGTCTGGTAGGGGTTGGGGGAGGAGGAGTACGGTGGCACCGCCCCGCTGGTGGGGGAACAGGACACTTTGTAAGGTGTGCCAGGAGTGTAACCTGAAACAAAGAAGCCCAAAGCCTTAATTCAAACCCACACTCGGCCAGACACAGGGGACGGACCAAGTGTGCAGCGAGGAACGAGGCAGTGTTCCAGCCCCAACCACAGTCATATCTGACACCTCTGCTGAAATGTGGCTTCACTGCTTAGACTTTATGTGCAAGTATTTTTTTTTTCGGGGGGTGGGGAGAAAGTTCTACCGAGTGCATACTTACATAGGAACAGGAAAGAAACACTGGTCCTGTCGGAATTTAAATTAGCACGCCCTTGCTGGGGCACAATTTGGCATTAAAAGTATGTATGTCTTTTAACCCCACCATTCTACTTCTAGAAATTTGTTTTAAAGAAACAAGCACGGCACATAAAAAGATGCTCAACATAGCTCGTCATCAGGGAAATGCAAATCAAAACCACAGTGAGGTATCTATCGCCTCACACCTGTGAGAATGGCTATGAATAAAAAGAACACAAATAACAAATGTCGGTGAAGCTGTGGAGGAAAGGGAATCCTCGTACACCGTTGGTAAGAACACAAATTGGTATAGCCACTATGGAAAACAGTATGGAAGTTTCTCAAAAAACTAAAAATAGAACTACCACATGACTCAGCAATTCTACTCCAGGGTATTTATCCCAAGAAAACGAAAATGCTAATTTGAAAAGATACATGTATCCCAATGTTCATAGCAGAATTATTTACAATTGTCAAGACAGAAAGCAACCCTAAGTGTCCATCAACAGATAAAGAAGATGTGGGAAACACACACATACATATGGTCGCGCAGGGGAATGTTACTCAACCATAAAAAAAGAAGGAAACTTTGTCATTTGCAACATGGATGGATGTGGAGGGTATTATGCTAAGTGAAATAAATCAAAAAGAGACAAATACTGTATGGTATCACTTATATGTAGACTCTAAAAAATACAACAAACTAGTGAATATAACAAAAAAGAAGCAGACTCACAGATATAGAGAACAAACCAGCGGTTCACTGGAGAGGGAAGGGAGGAGGGGGGCAACACAGGGGTAGGGGATTCAGAGGTACAAACTACAAGGACACACACAGGGAATATAGCCAATATTTACAGTAACTATAAATGGAATATAACCTTTAAAAACTGTGCATCACTGTATTGTACCCTGGTAACTTATAAAATACTGTACATCAACTACACTTCAATTAAAAAAGAAAAAAAGAAATAAGCATGGATTTGAACAAAGGCTGAACTGTAAGCATGCTCATCACAGTGTTGTTAATTACAGCAAAAACAAAAGGAAAAACTTGTCAAACACCAGGGTTTTGCTAAAAAGACTTCTGGGTCTAAGGTACAGCAGGCTGAACACATACTTTTGCCTTTGTCCCCACCCAAAATGACAATAAAGCAGATTAATAAATAAAAAGGCACAAAGCCACACAGATCAAGAAGAGAGAAAAGACATTTTAGAACCTAATAATTTTGGACTCTTTTTAAAAGTACAAGTGGAAAATAATTTAGCAGACTCAAAAAAGCTGTACTCTCAGCCAGCAGTGAAGAGGGTCAAGCAGCAGCCTGACACCTGGAAAGCCCCTTCCCCTAGACCTAGAAGCTGCCAGCATGTGTTGCCAGGAAGTGACGAAGGACCACGATCTGGAAGAGGGATTCAGAGGCTACCTGGTAAGCAGTAAGATGCCTGGCTCCCCTCCTGACTCCCCATTCCAACGGAGGAGTTTTTCTCCAGGGAGGTTAAGAGAGGGTCCCTGAATTGCCACGTTCATAGCCCACTGATTTATACAGACTAAACCACCAGCAAACTGTGGTACAACCATACAACAAAATACTACTACTCAGCAACCAAAAGGATAGAACTGCTGATACACATAACATGGGATAAATCTCAAAAAAAAAGAAAAATACAATATGCAGAAGAAGTCAGACACAGTAACACATGATATAAAACTCTAGGAAAGACCAACATAATCTACAGAGACAGAAAACTAATTAGTGGTGTTCAGGGGCGAGAGGGCATGAGGGCATCTTTCACAGGAATGAAGTCACTTGACTGTTTGTGGTGTCACACATCTGTATACATATCCAAACACACCAAACTGTGCATTTATAAAGGATGGCTTATATGCAAATTATACCTCAATAAAACTGCATTCTAAAAAGTCTGAGAAGCCATTTCTCATTCACTAGAACGGCTGAGATGGCAGAGTGCTCACACGAGTTCCATGGAACAATACAACTTCTCATAAAGCTACAAATATGCTTCCCATAGGGCCCAACAATTCACTCCTAGATACTTTCCCTAGAAGAATGAAAACATACTTCCACAACAGGACTTGTAAAAAAATGTTCACCAATCTTACTCATAATAGCCAAAAGATGGGAAATAATCCAAATGTTTATCAAGAGGAAAATGGGTAAATTATGATACATCCATATAAATACTACTCAGTATCAAAAGGCAAAAGCATGAATGAATCTCAAACCATGCTGACCTCTTAAAAGACATCAGACACAGAGCACACACTGCATGATCTCATTTTCAACACTTAAATAAACCTAGCTATGCTGACAGAAGTCAGGGGGAGTGGTGTATGATTTGGAGCGGGTGAAAGGAAAGCCTAGGCGCAGTGGTTGAGAGCCCGCCGGCCAATGCAGGGGACACGGGTTCGTGCCCCAGTCCAGGAAGATCCCATATGCCACAGAGCGGCTGGGCCCATGAGCCATGGCCGCTGAGCCTGCACGTCCGGAGCCTGTGCTCCGCAACGGGAGAGGCCACAGCAGTCTGAGAGGCCCTCTTACCGCAAAAAAAAAAAAAAAAAAAAGTGCTCAGTATTTTGTTTTGGGTGGTGGCTACGCGAGTATGATAATTGTCAAAATCCATCCAAATGAACATTTAATATGTGGGTGATTTGCATAAATTATATCTCAAACTTAAAAATGAACTGAGTATTAAAAAAATGAAAGTTTAAAAAATTTAAACCACTTTATTGAACCGTGTTTAGCGGTGTACTTATATTTTAATCTAAAAGAGAAAAAAAGAATGAATGACTTCCAGGATATACACTAGTTTTTTTTTGTTGTTCTTTTTTTTAACATCTTTCTTGGAATATAATTGCTTTACAATGGTGTGTTAGTTTCTGCTTTATAACAAAGTGAATCAGCTATATGTATACATATATCCCCATATCCCCGCCCTCTTGCGTCTCCCTCCCACCCCTCTAGGTGGTCACAAATCACCGAGCTGATCTCCCTGTGCTATGCAGCTGCTTCCCACTAGCTATCTATTTTACATTTGGTAGTGTATACATGTCCATGCCACTCTCTCACTTCGTCCCAGCTTACCCTTGCCCCTCCCCGTGTCCTCAAGTCCATTCTCTATGTCTGCATCTTTATTCCTGTCCTGCCCCTAGGTTCTTTAGAACCATTTTTTTTTCTTAGATTCCATATATATGTGTGGAGTCTCAGGATTTGGAAAAGCAACGTTAAAGACAAGAGCAACGTTAAAGACAAGGCAAAAACAAATACGGTATTTGTTTTTCCCTTTCTGACTTACTTCACTCTGTATGACAGACTCTAGGTCCATCCACCTCACTACAAATAACTCAATTTCGTTTCTTTTTATGGCTGAGTAGTATTCCACTGTATATATGTGCCACATCTTCTTTATCCACTCATCTGTTGATGGACACGTAGGTTGCTTCCATGTCCTGGCTATTGTAAACAGAGCTACAATGAACACTGTGGTACATGACTCTTTTTGAATTATGGTTTTCTCAGGGTATATGCCCAGTAGTGGGATTGCTGGGTCATATGGTAGTTCTATTTTTAGTATTTTAAGGAACCTCCATACTGTTCTCCATAATGGCTGTATGAATTTACATTCCCACCAACAGATACACCAGTTTTAAATGACCTTTTTTTTTGAACCACAAGTCCCCCTTTCCTCCAAGGGGCCAAGTCAGTCCTGGAGACCCACTGAGAACCATCATGCACTTGGTGTGCCTGGGTTCACTAAGACCTTAAATGCCATGTTTCTCGTTTATTCCCCAGACTGTCCCTCATGGTGTTCATGATGAAGATGCTGGTAAAGGTGTTAATGCCCCAAAGTCACACACATCAGAGCAGGTGCTCAGACAAACCCAGATCCAGCTGCACTGAGCAATGACTCCTTTGCCCAAACTAGCTAATTCCCAAGCTCAGCTCTTATCTGTTTTAAGGAGAAAAGACCCTCACAGGTTTCCCTATTTCTGTGTTTTAGAAAAAAAATTTTGTATTGAAGTACACTTGATTTACAATATTGTGTTAGTTTCAGGTAGACAGCAAAGTGATTCAATTATACACACACACACACACACACACACACACACACACGGGTTTTTTTCACATTCTTTTCCATTACAGGTTATTCTAAGATATTGAAATAGTTCCCTGTGCTATACAGTAAATTCTTATTACTTCTCTATTTTATGTATCTATTTGTATCTGTTAATTCCATACTCCTAATTTATCCCTCCCCTCTCCCTTTCCCCTGTGGTAGACTGAAGTTTGTTTTCTATGTCTGTGAGTCTGTTTCTGCTTTGTATATAGATTTATTTGTATTATTTTTTAGATTCCACATATAACTGACATCATATATTTGTCTTTCTCTGTCTGACTTACTTCACTTAGTATAATATTCTCTAGGTCCATCCACATTGCTTCAAATGGTAATTATTTCATTCTTTTTTATGGCTGAGTAACATTCCAACATACACACATATACCATGCCTTTTTAAACCAATCACCTGTTGATGGGCACTTGGGTTGTTTCCACGTCTTGGCTATCGTAAATAGTGCTGCTATGAACACTGGGTATCTTTTCGAATACGAGTTTTTATCTTTTCTGGATATATGATCAGGAGTGGGATTGCTGGATTATATGGTAGCTCTATTTTTAGTTTTTGTTTTATTTACTTATTTGCTTATTTATTTATTGGCCACCTAGCGCAGCTTGTGGGATCTTAAT